TCATTGTCCTTTCAGACTAATTTCAGATGACTACTTCACTTTTCCAAGCAGCTACCCAGCAACCCATCCCCTCTAGTTTCCATATATAAAATTGTAAGATTTGTTGAGTTCCTACCACATGCATGGCACTGGCCTAATCATCAATCCGCCACAATAACCCTACTGGAGGTAGACTTTTCTATCTCCATTTGAAACTGAATAAACTTTCCTCCAGAGAGGTTAAACAACTTGCCCCAAAATCTCGTTTAAAAAAATAATATTCACAAAAAAACCCCTTCTGATGAGGAAATAGAAACTTCCATTTCTCATCACATTCATCCGAGAAAACCAAGGTCTCTAGGTACCACAGACCTGATGCCTCCCTGAGCATGCCCTATAAACAGAACACTGCAGCAGAAAATATTCTGCTAAAAATGGGACATAAACTATTAATTCTCCAACAAATTACAGTAAAACCTGCAGAAGTTGGATCTGTGTAAGGTGGAAACCTGTCAGAGAAGGAAAAAACATTTTCCACTAAAACAAGTGCTAGAGAAGTGGTAAGACTGCACCCTGTCAAAGGCAGAAAACCCGCGAGACCCAGAAAAACAAGGCAGTCACGTCAACTTCTGGCTCTCACAGGTTTCACTGCATTTTTCATTATATCTGTATCCCCAACACTAAACAGGCTCCATAGCAAAAAAAAAAAAAAAAAAAAAAGGGATGACTATAAGCCAATAATCAAGTAAATACATTTTCTTTCTCATTCTATATTGCCATTCAAATTGACAGGCAACTTTAAATCGTCTCTGGCTCACTGCATGGTAAAACAATTTATACTTTCTGAAAATAAAATGTCCAATAATAACATATCTAAGTGACTAATAAGCCTGAAACAGAAATAAAGGAAGAGAAAAGACAAATTAAGTTCTATGCCATGAACAAATCATTTACAATTAACCAAAGAATTAACATATAATCTTCCAAATTTTCCAGGAAAACAAGAGGATTATCAGGACCAAAACACTAGCAAATCAAGTCCTTCCGGAGCAATGTTTTAAACTTTCATAACAAATCCCAAAGCTTTATCCCTACTTCCCCCATGGTCGCTGACTGTCTACTTTTACTATGCTGAAATACCCTCACTCGGCACCAAAGGAAAAAAATCACATGTACAACATCCTCAAACAGCAGAAATCTCATCCATATATCCAAACTACTACCACTGGACCAAAGAGATGGCATTACAAAGTACTTTTACACTCTACATTACATATACCCGTAATGTCTAAATTTTTTCAACAAGCACCTATTATGTCTGTGAGCAGGGGAAAACTGGAAACAATTCCCTGCCTCCACCAAGTTTTGTAAGATGTGCCTTGTTTATCCAGCGCTGAATAGACAACCTGAGTAGGAGTGGGAAGCTTTAGTGGACTCAGTGGTTTTTATCTTCTTAAAAATGAAATGTTAAGGCAGGAAGGGACATGAACTGGTCGAATGGACACAAAGAAACCGTAGTGGAAAGCGGGAGTGTGTTGTCACACTGTGGGGATTGCAACTAATGTCACAAAACAATATGTGTATAAATTTTTGTATGAGAAATTAACTTGAGCTGTAAACTTTCACCTAAAGCACAATTTAAAAAAATAAAATAAAAATGGAATGTTAAGCAAATCCCCAAAGTATTAAAACACAAACGCAGAACTGCTGATTGAAAAGAGGGTGGGTAGCTCAGAAACCTGCCAGCTCAGTTTCTCCCCCTCAACAGCTCCTGGGGCACTTCCTCACTACCAACAGGATACTTTAAAAAACACCTATCCAATCTATATTTAGTCAAACTCACTAAAAATTCAATGAAAATAATCATTATCAAAATCTATTTGGAGTTACTGGCAAGTCTACAGAATGGCCTTTAAAGGATGGGTTTGGAATACAAAGTCTTTTTATAAAACAACTTCATTAAGGTATAATTTACATACAATAAGATGTACACATTTTAAGAATAGTTTGATGAGTTTTAACAAAGTATAACATGTAAACATGACCCCAATCAAAATACAGAATATTTCCATCATTCCAGAAAGTACCCTCCTGCTCCTTTTCAATCTGCTCTCCCCCTGCACCCACCCTAAAATTCTTTTCAACTGGTAGCCTAACAGAATCTGAGTAAACCAGGACGTCATAGTAGAACACTTCCAGAGACTGCCACCCAGCAGGTTCTATTTATTCCTGTATTTCAATAAATATTTACTGAGCCTCTTCTATTTGACAGGTATGTCTCCAGCAGTGAATAAAACAAATTCCTGCTTTACTCTCTTGAGGAGAAGGGTGGGACACAATAGATCAAAATTAATAATATCAGGTAGCAATAATGCAAGGTTAAGGAGGAAAAGAGAGTATCAATTGGTGGGAAGTGCTATTATAGATAGGGCAGTCAAGGGGGGCCTCTCTCACTATGTGACAGACTCATGCCTACAAAGGGACATCAAAACTTACAAAGCCAAAGAGGTTGGTTGTGAAAAAAATCAAAGACATTAAGTACAACTTAATAAAAATAGGCAAATATCCCTTTTTTACCCATCAAGAGCAACTCCGGGAAGTCATATGTAGATATTTTCCTACAATTTACCCTAAAGCGTTTTCAGAAACAGGCCAATTTTCAGGGAGCTTATGTTTATGCAGTATCATTTGCTGTTTAATCATTTAATCCAAATGCCCAGCATATTGAACACAGAACTTGCAAATTATGTAGCTAATATTCTGATAAATACTTTGAGTGTCAAATCATTGCTTTATTTATTTATTTTTCCTTGAGCAACTCCTTTATTTCATCAGCCAGAAGATTCCTGCTAAAGGGACTATTCCAACCAGTTGGGGCAGCAGAACACACAAGCACTCTGCATTATTACCTAGATGTGGTCCTCCTGCTGTAATCTCTGTACTAATCAGGTGTGAGAGATACTGCTATTGGCCCCCAAGGGCATTCTCCCCCTTTTTTGATACTAATAGTACTCCAGATTTTTAGCAGACACATGGCTACCAAAATAAACACTGCCTTTCTCAAGCTCCCTTGATGTTCCTTCTGACAAGAATACCTTCCCATCTCTGCTGGTCAAACATACCCATTTCGAGACTTACAAAAAATCTTGTCTTTTCCATGAAACCCACTGTGACTCATCCACCTGAAAAGTGACTTTTCCCTTCTGTGAATGCTCAAAGGATTTTTCTTTAAATTGTGCTTTAGGTGAAAGTTTACAGAGCAAATTAGCTTCTCATTAAACAATACACAAATTATTTTGTGACACTGGTTGCCAACCTGATGATGTGTCAACACTCTATCCTTCTCCACCCTTGGTTCCCTGTTTCCATTCGTTCTGTTTCCTGTCCCTTCCTGCCTTCGCTTTTGGGCTGGTGTGCCCATTAGTCTTGTATACATGATTGAACTAGGAAGCCATGCTCCTCACGTGTGTTACTACTGATCCTACAGACCCGTCTAATCTTTCTTCAGCTGAAAGGTGAACCTCAAGAGTGACTTCGGTACTGAGTTAAAAGGGTGTCCAGGGACTAAACCAAAGCTAAGAAGTTTCCTGAATATAATCAAACACTTCGAGGGACAGAGTAGCAGGGGCGAGGGTCTGGGGACCATGCTTTCAGAGGACATCTAGGTCAACTGGCATAACAAAGTTTTTTAAAAAAATGTTCTGCATCCCACTTTGGTGAGTGGCATCTGGGGTCTCAAAAGCTAGCAAGCAGCCATCTAAGATGTATCAATTGATCCCAACCCACCTGTCAACCTACCTGGAGTAAAGGAGAATGAAGAACACCATGGACACAAGGGAAGCATTAGCCCAAGACACAGAAAGGGCCACATAAACCAAAGACTTCATCCAGCCTGAGACCAGAAGAACTAGATGGTGCCTGGCTACCACAATGACCATCCTGACAGGGAATACAACAGAGTCCCTGACAGAGCAGGAGAAAAGTGGTGTGCAGAACTCAAATTCTAGTAAAAAGACCAAACTTAATGGTTTGATTGAGACTGGAGGGACACTGGGGCTCTCTGTTAGCCCAAAACTAAAACCATTCCCAAGGCCAACTCTTCAGACAAAGATTAGACGGGACTATGGGAGATAAAATCACGTGCTTCTTAGCTCAAGTAGATACATGAGACTAAATGGGCAGCTCCTGTCCGGAGGCAAGATGAGAAGGCAGAGACAGTCAGAAACTAGCTGAATGGACACAGGAAATCTGGGGTGGAAAGGAAGAATGTGCTGGCAAGTAGGGTCACAAAACAATGTATGTATAAATTTTTGTATTAGAGACTAATTTGAATTGTAAACTGTCAATTAAAGCACAACAATAAAAAAATAAATAAATAATTTTTTTTTTTTTTTTTTAAAAACGGTATCCAGGGGTCATAGCAATCATGGCTTTGAACAGATGTTTACTTACTCCTAAACTGTGAAAAATTTAAATAAAAAAAAAAACCTCTCAGCTTTAAATGCAAGACTAAGTAACTTTTAAAGGGTTCTTCCAATTCTGATTCTATAAAGTTTAGGATTTGCAAAGTAAAATGGTATTTCTTTAAGGTGGTACTCCGTATGAAACAGAGCCCTGAGAAGCTACGCAAGTCTGGTCCCAGCTCTGACATTCAGGATTATGGGTGTCAACCTCCTCCCCATCCCCATTCCCCATTTATATATACATACTCACATACACTTCTTTTTAGCACTTGTCAGGCATTACATTGTTATACCTGGAACAGATGATCGTTTCCCAGAAACAGAAAACACTGTTGGTGTGTATAATCTCTGAATATGTAGACAGGTCAAATTCTACAAACAAGCCTGAAAGTCAGAAACCTAGGTATCTTGGCTTGGCTCCATATTAACTTGCCGCCAAACCATGCCAACGTTCACAAACCACCCCCAGGTGGTTTTAAATACAGTAAATTTTTAGTATCTTTCTACCAAGAATTCAGAATACTATCTATGCTCAGCAACCAAATACAATACAAATACCATTAAAAGGTAAGCTAATGACCTTGACATTAAGCACTTTCGGAAAGGGACAGAGGAAGACTATGTTGCTTGATGAAATCTGTCCACACCGCTTCAGTCAAAAGGATGAAAGAATAAATCAGAAGCTCTTCAAACTCGATAAATTCTGCATCGTAAAAACAATAATTACAACATCTCACACACATCGCATTTAGAGTTTACAATGTTTTCATGTACATTTACCCATGTAGTAAAAAGAAAAAAAATTTCCCTAACTCACTGGTCTGTTTTAAGGCTGTTCACAGTGACACAGAAACAAGACAGTTAAGCAGTAAGAACTTAAGCATACATAAACAAAGCAAGGCTTTGTGAAGGATCACATTATTATGCCCGAAACAAGAATTTCTTGTTTACCCAATTCTTTATTTTTCTATTGGGAACCCCACTCTGGTATCTGACCAACTTTCTCGTTCTCCTTCATTTTAAAGTCTTTTCTGATAGCTCATAGTCTGGAAGCCAAAGGCAGATTTAGTTAAGACCCTAGGACACAGCCTTTAGCTAAACTGGGGCCATCTTCTGGGAAGCCCTGATGTAGTAGAAAGCCCTGGAAAAAAGAAATCTCCTGAGTAACTTTAAAAAACAGTCTCGCCTCTTTGACTTCCTCTCTCAATCCTCTGCTTATGCCCGTCTTTTTACTAAAATATAGAAAGTTCACAATTATTAACCCCTCCAAAAAATCACAAACTATTACTGAAAGCAAAGAAGAGGCACATTATTAAAAAAATAATAATAATAAAATAACTTTGGTTCTTATGCCCTGGGACGGGAGCCAAAAGTCTTTGATTCAGACATTCAGCAACATATCTTTGCTTGGCCTTCTATCTTCTGAGACTGGCCAAGTTATGCAGTTACAACATCCCAGATGCTACAAAGCAAACCAGGCAGAACAAAAATGAGGACCCTGCACATCCGCCAGCTAACAGGCATGGGCAGGAACCTAATCAATGTAGTTATCCTTTTTAGCAATGTAGTTATCCTTCCTAGAAGTCCTTGGGTCTCTTCAGTTTGGAAACAAAATAATTCAGTATTTTGGTTCTTTGCCTCCCTCTGCTTCACTTCCCTTTCCCAAAATTACCTAAAATTGTCTTTTTAGAAGAAACGAAGGGAATAAGGCACCAAGACAGACAACAAAAATGGTGATGGTTAAGATAACAGAATAACTTTGAGTGGTGGGTGTAAAGACCTGTATCATATACCCAGAACAGAGGCAGCAAATTCAAATGTCTACAACAGACAAGTAACATAAAAGTGTAAAATGATAAACAGCAACTGCCCCATGCCAGGGATACATGTCAGCTGTGGTGGGGTCTGTGGCAAACTGGAAAGGACATGCCCAACTACAGAAGATCTCTGTCACAACGCAGAAATACAGGCCCTCAGCTGCCAGGTCTGATTTTTCAAGAGCAGCCTGTATCCACATGTTTATATGAAATCTCCCTGTTTTTAAATGTTGACAACTAATTCAAATTTACAACACCGTTTGGGCCAAACAAAACACATCTGCAGTCTGGATTTAGTCTACATGCCTTCAGACTTCAAGCTCTGCTATAAAAAGAAAAATATATGGTTCTTTCAGGGATAGAGCAGCACTTCAGGGCAGAAAGTGCATCGTGTGCATCCAAAAAGACACTATCATCTAGTATTTGATTCATCTAAAATATACTACAAAAGATATGAATATCTATCTGAAACCCCTAATTGTTGAACGAAAGTAAGAAGAAAATCATCTTACTCTTCATACACTAAGGTGCTCCATTTCAGCCAGTAAAATAGGAACCGTAAACAAAACCCAGTGGGTGAAAACATCAAGAAATGGGTTTTTTTGAAACTGAGTTCTTACTAATTTTCATAAATTTGTGCATAATCAGGCCCTCACTTCTAGACAAAAAGAAACTAAGAGACTATTTCTATCCTACAGCATTTAACTTCCATATTTCTCCTTTAAAAAAATAAAAAAGAAATTCCCTTGAAAGACTAAGAAAGTGAATGTCTTAGAAAGGCTACACATCTGTTACTACACTGGAAAGCCTTGGGCAATTACTCTTTTAAGGGTTATAAACCCGCATTACAGATTCTAAAGCAGTGGTTCTTAAATTATTAAGACTCTAATGAATATGATGAAAGGTAAAGACACCTTCTTTGAAAAATGCACCCCTCTCACAAAAATTTTACAAGTTCATAGGCCCCCTGGAGTCCATGGGCCATAAATTAAGAATGTCCTGCTCTACAGAGTATTAACAGACTTAATCTTCAAACCCTCTGCTTCTCCTCATCACTACATCTCTACTCCACCACTCTAATTCAGGCCACTAACATCTCCAGCGAGGACCAGCACAAAACCCAAAAACACCAAACCAACTGCTGTCAAGCCATTCCGACTCGATATTGTAGGACAGAGTAGCACTGCCCCATAATGTTTCCAAGGCTGTAATCTTTACAGGAGCAGACTGTCGCATCTTTCTCCCACAGAGTGGCTGGTGGGTTCAAACTGCCAACCTTTTGGTTAGCAGCCAAGCGCTTTAACCACTGCGCCACTAGAGCTCCTTCAGAACCAGTATAATACCCTCTCAATTAATATCCCCTACAATCCATTTTCCAAACCTCCGTGAAAGTGACTTAAAATATAAATCAGATGGCAACTTCCCCTTCTCCCACTCTTCAAATGGCTTCCCTAAACAATCTCACCTCTGCTTACCTCTCCAACTCATCCTTCTCACTAGGCGTCAGCCACACTTGGCGTCCCTTCAGTTCTGAAAGAACCCTAAAAGCTTCCCATCCTTCAGTGTTCGCACTTGCTGTTCCATCCACCTGGAATGCTCTCCCTTTGACACTCTACAAAACTGGCTCCTCATGCTCCCCAAAAAGAACTTATCTAACCACACTTAGCCCTCCCCCTTTTTAGTGTTTTTCAAGAGTCCCCAGCTTGATACCTCCACATCACTTTTCTCAATTTGTAATTTATTTTCTTACTTGTTTTTGTCTCCCCCCCCCCAACACCTATACTGTGACTTCCCAAAAGGCAAGAATCCATCTGTCTCATATCCTGCTGTACACACAGCCTAGTAAAGGGGCTAGTACATGGTAGCCTTCAGGCACTGTTCGTTGAATCAACTAATCTTCTAATATTATTAATTAATTAATTTTATCAATCTTATTAATGTTTAAAATGAGTGTGAAGTAATCAATCAAAATCTGACATTTGAGAGAATAGCACTAACCACACTTCCTCAATTCACCACGTCACTATGCCCAAGATAAATCAGCATCCTAAGATTCTTAGTGGTTAAGACCACCCATTCTAAAAAAATAAGTAAATCGTATGTCTTATGCCCTACCAGTCCATCTCATCCATCCTCATCTCAGGGCTAACCTCATAAATACTCCAATCTTCCTCCCTCCAATTTCTCAGCACAGAACAGGTCACGCTTTTGTAAGCCATAATTTCACTGGCTAAACCAAATTCAAAAAGTACGTGAATACAGCATTAAAGAAATATGCTAAAGAACCACTGCTACTGCTGCTACTACTACCAACACCACTACTACTAAGATTGCACTGCACATAGTCTGCAAACTAAAAATAACGGTATCCAAAACCAGACTTTCACTGGTGCTAAAAAAGGTTGGGGGGGGGGAGAAAAAGGTGGAACTATACTGGACATAAAAATTTTTTATTAAAAAATTTATTACAGAAACTTCAATTCACCTCTTTTACAGAACACAACCAAGCCCAAATGGCTGCGGTAAAATTTTCTTATAATACTCAAAGTGTGCACACAAGTTCCAAAAACATATCTCCCAGCAAGGAACAAACAGCACAATTAGCTCCGAAAGTTGTTCATGGCCGCAGCCATTTTTGGCTCTTTAACAGGTTTCTATATAATAGTATACACATCGGGCTGTCGGAACAACAGGGCAGAATACAACAGACACTAGTTCCACAAACAAAAAAAGAAGGGGCAGGTCATCTGAAAGAGCAGAAAAATAATCGTGTAATACTCGTCTTTCCATTCTAGGCCTACAATCTAGAAATTCTATCAATAACAATAATGATGTTGGGTGCCATCCAGTCGATTTCGACTCATAGCGACCCCATGTGACAGAGTACAACTGCCCCAGAGAGTTTTCTTAGCTGTAATCTTTACAGCAAGCAGACTGCCAAGTCTTTCTCCCTTGAAGACACTGGGTGCATTCGAACCACCAAACTTTTGGTTAGCAGCCCAGCATTTAACCTTTGCATCACCAGGGCTCCTAATAACAATAATATATAGTGTTTAATATATGCCAGGCAACGAGCCAAGTGGTTTCAATTTATCTCATTTAATCTTCACAATAACCCTATAAATCGGCCACTGTTATTTACCGCTACTTTGCAGATGAGGAAACTGAGTCACCTGAAGTGAAGCCCCTTGACCGAAAATCAAAACCTAGCAGAGGCAAGACTCGAACCCAGGCAGACAGTCTCCAGGATCCTTCTTCATACTGCCGCCAGAAGCTTTACTGGCTTTCTCCTGCTGCCAGGCCCTTTCATACACTCAGAGGTTTTCCCTTCAATCCAATTAACAACCTCCCCGTAAACACTGTACACCCGCTGATAGCTTCTAACTTCTGGCCGCCAGTGCTACTGGCCAACTTCTGCCGCCTTGCTCCACTCCTAAAATTTAGGAGGACAAAGTGAATAGCCGATAAAAGTTGCTGAGCTGCTAAGAGAAGCAAAGGAAATTGCCCCGTCTTAGAACACAAGCCAATAACCGCTGAAATACAAGTCGCCTCACCCCTGGCTCAAAAGACTGAAATAGAAATGGAGCAAGGAATGGGGAGCACAATTATTCCCGCAGCAGATAAATTTGGATTATACCTCCTTTGGCCACAAGGCAGAGATGAACGGAAGAACTACTAACATTCACTGCCAGCCACATGCGCCCTAAGAGAAAACCAGGCCAATGGAGACTTGGTTGGGGGGAGGGCACTCAAAGAGTTCCAGGAAAAGGAGAAATCCAAATAACGAGGTTCGTATGACGAAACGAGGGGGAGGGGAGGAGGACGGTCTCTCCCGGTAGATTGCAGAAAAGGAGAAAGAAAGGTACAAGCTGCTCGGGAGAAAAGGCGGCCTTGAGCCTCGGGAGCCAGGCCCGACCGAGGGGAAGCCCTGAAGGGCGGGGAGGGGGAGGAGCCGGAGGGAGCAAGGCCCGCTCAGCAGAGGCCAGGGGGTAAGTGCGGGGGAGCGGCGCCGCGCCAGGCCTTCCCGGGGACCCTGACCTAGCTACCGCCGAGAAAAGATAAAAGGCGAAACGACTGGAGCTGCTTGAGCTGTCCTAACTCCCATCAGAGGCGCTTACTCACCTAGGCACACCTGAGCGATCGCAGCTGCAGCCTCGCAACGGCACAACCGGCCCGAACCTCGCCCCCGCCCGACAGCGCGCCCCGCGTCCCCGCTCTCCTACGACGGAGACGGCGGCGTCGCCCCGCTACCTCCTGGGAAATGTAGTCCTAGGTCCTCCTGTCCTTGCCGACTCAGCGGTCTACTGAACTACGTTTCCCACAAGATAAGGCGAGCGTTGGGCCCGCCGATTTGCGTCACGCGCCGAGTTGTCGGATGTCACGTGGGCTGCTCCTTTCCATCCCCTCCCCCCGCCTGGGTGGCCTGGGGGAAGAAGGAGGGAGGTGGACGGAAGGGGCGGGGGCGTTGCTGACGCCACTGCCCCCACCATTTTGGATCCAACCTGGAGGGAGGGCCTGAGCCCCACCCACTCGCTGCCCTTACTGCGTGGTCTGAAAAATCTGTGAGCTGGGTTTTAGTCTTTAGCGAGCCACCTTTCGGTTTCTGACCTTGATCAAATTGCCTCCCCTGTCTGAGCCTCAGTTTCCTCTCCTATAAAATGAGACTCAATTTGTATCACACAATTGTTGCAAGGCTCCGACAAAATGGAGTTATTTTTATTGTGATAGAAACCCGGATGGCAAACCCCTCTCCAGCCTTTTCTCCCGCCATCGTCCCTCTTCTATGAGGCTGGAAGCGCAGAAGGAGGTTTTCTCAGAGTGTGGTCTTGGGAAGCTTGTTAAAATGCTGACACCTGGGAGCCACTCTCCTATTGAAACAGAACTTTCACGAGTGTGGCCCTGGAATCTTCATTTCAAACAGACCTTCGGTGATTCTTACCAAATAAAACCACTGTATTTGTCAGGGTTTTGCACAGCCTTGTTGGTTTCCTCTGGAATTTCTGCCCTAGTCAACTAACACCTTTAAGACTCAGTCTAATGTCATCTATTCTGTGATGCCTGTACCCATTGCCATCAAGTCAATTCCGACTCATTGACCTTATAGGACAGAGTAGAACTGCCCCATTGGGTTTCCAAGGCTGTAAATCTTTATGGAAACAGACTGCCAAATCTCTTCTCCCATGGAGAGGCTGGTGGGTTCCTTTCCGTTCGCAGCTAAGCGCTTAACCACTGCACCACCAGGGCTCCCTGTGATGCTTCACAAGTTTACTAGTTCTTTCCCATCTCTGTGCTCCCGCAGTAGGTTTGCACCGTATACTGTACTATAATTATCAGGGCCCGTATGTCTTCCGCACCAGACTGTGAACAACTTGAGAACAGGGATCTGTTCTAACGGGTTTCTGCTTCCCAGGGCAAACCTGACAAAGCAAAACCAAAAAAATCAAACCTGTTGCCCTTGAGTGGACTCCGACCCTATAGGACCCTATAGGACAGAGTAGAACTACTGCATAGGGTTTCCAACGAGCAGCTGGTGGATTCGAATTGCCAACCTTTTTGGTTAGTAGCCGTGCTCTTTAACCACTGTGCCACCAGGGCTCCAAATAAGCATTAATAAATATTGAAGGAGTCTAGTGCTTGTTGAGAGAAAACATGCCACATTAGCCTCACCCTTACTGGCCTCAGTAGCATTCCTTCCACATTACTTACTGTTCCTCTGAGCATTTCCTGTGGGCCATATACTGTGTAGTGCTTTTGGAACGTTCTGATTCAACTTAATTTTCAATCCACAGACTTTCTGAGTGTATGGTATATGCCGGGCTCGGGGTAAAATGCTGGGAACATATTGATGAACTAAAAAAAGTCGCTGTTGAGTCAGTTCCAATTCATGACAACTCCATGTGTATCAGAGTAGAACTGTGCTCCATAGGATTTTCAGTGGCTGATTTTTTGGAAGCAGATCATTAGGCCTTGCTTCTGAAAGGCTTTTCTTCATAAGGCCTCACAGAACTTACGTTCACCTGGGGAGACAACAGTAAGGAGTCTATCACATGCATAATTAATTACTACTGTGATAAGTGCAAAACAGGGAAAGTATATGGTATATGCCACGATAGTGTAGAACAGGTTGTCAAACTACAGCCTGTGGGCCAATTCTGGCCCATCTCCTGTTTTTATACACCCAAAGCTAGGAATTCTTTTCACATTTGTAAATAGTTGGAAAAAAATCAAAAGAAGAATATTTCGTGACATGTGGAAAGTATATGGAATTCAAATTCCAGCATCCATACATTCATTTACCTATTCTCTATTTCTGCTAAGGAGCCCTGGTGGTCCAGTGGTTAAGAGGGCCACTGCTAACTGAAAGATCGGTGGTTCGAACCCACCAGCCACACCTCAGGAGAAAGATCTGGCAGTTTGCTTCCATAAAGATTACAGCTTTGGAAACTCTATGGGGCAGTTCTCCTCTGTCCTATGGGGTCACTATGAGTGAGAATCAACTTGACAGCAATGGGTTTTTTGGTTTTCTATGGCTGCTACTACAGAAGAGTTTAGTAGTTATGACAGAGATCATATGGCCTACAAAGTCTAAAACATTTACATTCTGCTTTTTGTTGATAAAAATTGCCAATTTTTGATGTAGAAGCAGGAGGTCCTGACCTAGGCTAGAGGATCAGGAAAGGCTTCCCTGAGGAAGTGACCCATAAACTTGTAGTTAGCCAGGCCAGGAATTGGGGAAAGAGCATTCCA